TTATTTCAAAATTGAAGTTATCATATGACAAATATTCAGTGGACAAAGTTTGAACAAAAATCTATTGTCACTTTTATTTCAGAGGAATTACCTTAATTAATGCAGGATATTAGATCTAAAGTGGTGACCATTGACGACTTTTCGTCACTATTCGCCACTTTTCGCGTCTGTTCGCCACTATTCGTACTATTCGAGACTATTCGCGACTATTAGCTATTCGCTATTCGGGTTTTCCAGACACCCGAAAATCACTGACTTAGCTTACCTGATACATTTCCTTCAGCTTAGTAGTGATGACAGAAAAACCCGCCATGAACTCATCAAGGCGCTGCTTCCTCATAGCCTCATGCTCTCGTCTTTTCTGATCACGCTCTGATGTCACTTCATCGAGTTCCTTCACTCGAGCAAGATAAGCTTCTTCCTGCACAAGAAAAAGAATTGAATAGGAACAAGGGTCGTAAACATGTTAGCCACACAAAATTCAGAGACACAAAATTAAACTTCTGACACTTACTTCAGTGAGTGCATTATTCCGAATGTCACTATTGGTGGCATTTGAACGATTCATGGTTATTCCTTTAAGGCATCTAAAATACTTTGCAGACACTTCTGCAGCAAACCAATCGAGTGCACAAAACCCCAGAGATGCAAATCTTTCAAAAACTAATTATCTGATTGAACTACAAATCTATAACAACTGAAGTTTATCTATAACAAATAACTACCAAAAAAAAGCACCCCTTAGGTTAAAACGGGAGGTGGAATCTCGAGAATTCCACCTGGGATCATGTATTTCCAAGCTGGGATCCCCACTTATCCCAGATGACGTGGGGTGCCACTGCGGATCCTGCCAATGTTTTGTGGGATTAAAGGTAGGATCCCACTGATTACTCTTGCCATTCTACCCAACCAAGACCCTGCTATCCCACAGATCAGGATTTCACTTCACACACAGCGTATATTAAACACTTCTGACACTCAATAGTAATGATCCCTTAATACTTGGTTGCTTTATGAGATTACAGTCTTTGTAAAATTGCTGTTTTTCGCTGTTCTTACTGGCCACAGCCACTACCTGTCATCGCCATCCAATAATGGAACATTTTAAACAATGCATGTCAATAAATGTTGTTAAATACCTTTTTCTGATATTCTGCAATGGCTGCCATGTTAGGTTTCATTTGTTTAAGTTTTTCCTCCAAAACAGTAATTTCGTACTAGAAAGCGGAACATTTAAAAATTATCTACAATAAGCACAGCTGATTCAGCTATAATGTGATATAGAAATAACATTAGTACCTTCTTACCTAAGCTGATGTAACAGACAATTACATTTTTTTTCTGTGATAGTGAACTGAATGATGACAGATTTACACATCAAAAAGATAGTGCAATGGTTAACCATTACCTTTTTCTTGTACTTTACGTACATGTTCATTCTCCAGCAGTGATCATCACCTGAACTACACGTTCTTTTATATTTTATAGGAAACATGCTGTCTGAATGGAAATGGTAGACGGGACGGTGCCTACTTTNATCATCGACTGACAAACACTATTCACTTGACTCTGAAGATGACTTCCGCTCAGGTTGTCGAAACGTCCGTCACCAACAACAGTTCTTTTCAGAACTACCCTCACCCGGACGATCACACTATACGAACTACTGATACTCCTGGGTTCAAACCATTTACTACGAAACAGTTTAATACTTATTTCTACTCTATTAATACTCTTTACATTACCATAACAGTCTCTTTATCAATGCCCTCCAGTTCATCGCGTGTTAGAGTTGCAAGGCTCTCTTCTGGTTCAGTCTCTGCTGATGCACTCAATGATTGCAATGACAACTTACTCAACTAAACATAAACAAACGTTTTACAGCAAATTAGGAGCAAGTTTCTATCTACCTTTTAAGGTAATTCCCCTGAAATTAAACTGCACATAGATTTTTGTTCAAACTTTGTCCAATGAATATTTATCATATGAGAACTTTAATTATAAAATAAAAAAGGGGGGTGCCCATGCTCGTCAAGGAGCAGTGAGGCATTGAAAATGTCCCATTTTAGCGTTATTTACTGCTTATTACAAGAACGCATTCCAAGTTATTGTAAACTCTTTGTGAACCCAGACTCATGAAATCACGCCTCAAACTACAGTCAATACTTGTGTCGGACACCAATAAACTTTTTAAGTTTGATTTTGACAGACAGCTGAATCCTTGTTAAAATATTGGAACCAAATTGCCTGCCATGGCTATCAAACTGCCTAACAGAAAAGACTACAGTGCAGCTGCTATTTTCCTTATTTTTTCAATTTTCAACAATAGAAATCAGATCAGTCTTTTCTCACGCAAAGCTAATGATTAGTTGATTAAAATGACTGGAAAAAAATTTGGGGTGCCCGAGCTCGTTAGTGAGCTATAACCATTTTTCACCTGACAGAACTCAATATTAAGGCAAATCCCCCATATTTTCAATGTGCGCGTGCACGAATGCGCGCTAATAACGCCATAAATTATGCGCAGTAAGGATGCGCAATGCAATACTGGGGAATGACCTTAAGTTAACTATCTATAAGGTAGTTATAGGTGTTATAGAAAGTCGAACCTCGAGCATCAGCCAGCTCTCTACAACGGCCTTTTTCTTTTGTCCTGGCGGACAGTCCATACAGTCAATCTTATTTAACCTCTTTAAAATGGCCACCTCTCTACAACGGCGTTGTTTAATATAGTTAACTTATGTAAATGTATTTACATTCGGCAGAACTAAACTGTCACTGTCAGTGACAGGGCATGTAAATATTTTCCGGGGGCTATGCAGCACACATGTGTTGCTATGGCATTGATTGAGTCTTTTGTTATTAAGTATAAATATGGCTAGAGTTTGCAGTTGAAATGTATCCATCCCAGCTCTCAAATTTTCAAATTTTGTTTTAGGAGTTATTCATCTTTGAACATCTGGAAATCTTGTAATCCGGCCTCTAACCCCCAGAGGTTAGTGCGTCTGCATTTGGTTGGGAAATACATTCCCATTTTTATTTTTTATCCACAGTTATTCTGGGATTTTGTATCACATGGTTGCACTAGCATTATAGCCTTCAAATAGCCTGAGTGCCGGGTGTTTATCTTGTTTTTAGCCTGGTAACTGGTATCTTATTTGAGCCATGTAACGCTGTTTGGACTGCATTTAACACTTAAGGAACAATTAACTACTGCAAAGTTCGTAAGTGCAATGAATTCTCTGCACAATCAGAGTGTGAACGCAGTAGCAGTTGACTATGATGCTTTTAATCCTCATGGCATTGAAAAAACTGATAATTACACACCTCCTTTTGCCAGTGTTTGACTTTCTGTTGGTTTTCTTTCAAAACTGTCTCATATTTCTCCACTTCATGTTTAATGTCCACCTCCTGACTCCTCATCTTAGTCTCTTCCTGCTCCAGTTCTGCCACTTCCTTTCTTAGCAATTCTAAAGATTCCTCCATTGCTGACATTTCTTGCTGTATGCATGAACAAAAATGCAAGGTAATCACTAATTATTGACCCTTGTATTTGAAAAATGTAACAATGGTAGAGAAGAAACTAGCAAACAAAGAAAAAAAAACAGACAAAAGTGTCAATTACTTGTATGTCATTACAAACACATTCCCTTGATTGGAACTGCTGCCTTTTCTCATTACACAAGAAATAGCCACATTTTGGAAAAAGGTTATTTTATTACAGTTTCCAGGTCCCATTTGTGCAAAAGCCGATTAATCAAGGGTGTAAGTACTACTGCATAAAAGTATTCTACGTCACCGCTATTTTTTTCCAGAACATAAATAAATCTTGGTTAAAACTGAAGGACAAAAATCATAAACACATAACGTCAATAAACAGTTACAAAACGGAATAAAAATTACTCAAACAGGAGGCCACGTTTTTTGCTAAGTCCCCTACTTAAAATGACGTTGTTGAAAGGGTGTGAGTTTTAGTGTAATGAAGGTTTAAATGTACATCTGGGAAAGAAAGAAAGAAATTGTCCTTTTAGCTAAGGCCCATTTCACATAAATCTGTTTAAGTGGTCTGTAGCTTACAAGATTAATGCTGCTTATCAAATATTTAGTAAAAATTATAATTCCATATCTTCTGCTTGGCAGGGAAAACTGACTAGCCCTAGGCTAATATAGACACATATTTAATCTGACACTTTTTTTAGTGACATTATCAATGTGCCACCGTGAGGCTATGAAGGCAAATTATAAACAAAAATTATAAATTATACTTGTGGCTTACCTGAGCCTTTTCATAGTCTTCTAGGACTTTAGTAGCTTTTTCCTCCAATGTTTTAAACTCTTCCTGTAAGTTATTCAGTTAGAATATACTCACTAAATGGTCATAAAAGAGAACTTTACATACAAACACATTGAAAACCTCAGGTGAAATAGCAGGGCATCTGGGCAGCACATTAGTGTAACATGATAGTCACTATTTGCCAGCAACTATATAAGTTACAGAGTCAAAAATATGACCTCATATAAGGTTCTTTGCCTTCTGAAAGCTGACAAGGTCTCAGGTTACTTAAACATTTCAAGTAAGATTTCCTTTCCTCCTTCAATTCCATAAAGATGTGGGTAATATTAATGAAAGCCTGTTTCTTTCAAATGTATTGATGCTGCATATAATCCTTCAACTACATGTAGGTATCAACAGTTGAGTCTACATCACATGATCAAAATGGAGTAAGAAACAAATGAAGCTAAATCAGTGGATTAATAACATTTCTATCTGATAATGCTTTTTTGACATGACTCACACATATCAAAAATATCTTACCTCAAGCTTCTGGATGTTGGCACTGTTTTCTTCAATTTCATTGTGAAGTGACTTAACATTATCTTCTGCCTTTTTTATGTTCCTAGATGATTATTTCGAGGAGTAAACAAGATACACGATACCATGCAATTTTAAAATAATTATAAAATAATAAGAATTCATAGAGTGCAAAGTACATGTTGAAAGCATCTTTGAGCACCAATGCAACTGATAAGCTATACTGTTACGATCCGCTCAATTTTAAAATAAAAATCAAATTACATGAGAATATGAAAATAAGAATGTGAGAATATGTTCAGATTTTCTACTTGCAGATAAAATAATTACCAAAGAAATAATAATCAGTCTACAAAAAAGTAGGAATAAAAATGTGTGATTGTGATTTAAATGATAGAGAGTTGATATTTCTGATGTTGACAGGTTGACTGTTCTAACTAGTGTATTTCAAGGAACATTCATTCAATCTGAGTTTCATTATAATGCTATTGTCCATCCATCAATTTTGAGTCAGGTATAAATGACACCCAAGGTTCATTTGGGCAGTTAGGCCAGGGAACTCCCATATGAAAAAGTTGCGGATGCTCGTCATCTTGCTTAGGGGTAAAAATCAAGAATTCTGGTATCACTTAGGGTGTTCATTATGAAACGCCACTATTTTAAAAACTGTCAAATTATCTTTTAGGGTGCACTCGAAGATAATTGATAATAGTAATAATTAAAATGCTCTTATTTCTGTTTTCAGGCTCGATTCTCGAGTGCGGTCTGCTGGTGCGGGCTCCTTTCCTGAACAGCGGCTGGTAATCAAGCCCATTACATTTTAAGAAGTATCTTTTAGGACCCTTTAGGGGTCAAATAAAGCTCAAGCCAACAAGGTGACCACTGATTATTAGGTTTAACACCGTGTTTTCACCTTCATGTCAAAGAAGTATTTCTTACTGAACTGTGCATACCTGTGACAAGTTTTGATAGCAACATTTGCTTTAGTGATTTGTCCTACCACATCATCCATGGCATTTGTCAATACATCCACACGGCCCTAATATTTATTATAAAGATTAAGAAACACATGTAAGTAAGCAAATAGTGTTCTATAATTAATGAAATATGAGAAAGATGTAAGTTATCACAAGTGAGGGGGAAATTATTCTTAGGTTTTGTAACTTGTAAAAAGACTAATTTTTAAATCATTCTTAGGTTTTGTTATTGTTTTTAGGTAGGTGTCCTCTATTAACAGAAGGTTATCCCTTGGCTAAAACAATTCCACAGGATAATAAAGTTATTATTATTACCTGTTGTGTCTTGAGCTTAGAACCACCAATCTCCATTATTTGCTTGTGAAGTCTACAGAAATAAAAATTGATCTAGTAAAAAGTACAGGTCATACAAACAAGACATCTGAGCTGAACTGACCTTTGAACTTCTGATTCAATCTTGGCTGATGATCTTACTGTTGCTTGCCATTCTGAAAAGAAATAACAGACAACTCTAGCACCTGTTCACTATCGAAATACATCATATGGCTTACTGATTAGCATTTCAGAATTGGAAGGTAATGCCCATAGTTTTAAGCCTTCATTATTTTCTTACAAATGCTTGTTATAGGAATGATAATCACTTGATTAAAACCTGCAGTTACAATTCTTGTCTGATTTTTGACATTTTTCTATTTGCAGCAATTTTCTTTAAGGGTAATGTTTTTGTGCTTGTGTTTTCTCCTTTGCACCCTGATGTCCCTTTTATATCATCTTAAAATAGCGCGCAATTTATTTCGAAATTGAGGGAATCCTGCAATGGCGCAACCTGGTGACAACACTGTAAACAGTTCAATAGAACAGGAAAATGAAATTACCTTAAATGTTAATTACATATATACACAAGACAGGAATTTGTCTGTCTGATTTTCATACTTCAAGCAAGAGCAGTAATTTGTTTTGACAACCATACAAAAAAGACAGACAAGTTGAAATGAACTACAGTCAAACCTCTCCACAACAGCCACTTTGGGGACAGAGAAAATTGGCCTTTGTAGAGGGGAGGAGGGGTGAAACATGACACCTGTTTTAACAGGTGTGCAACATTTCTTGTCTTAAAAAATTTTATTTTAGCATGTAAACTGTTCATAACACAATCAAACTGAAAAATGACTGCTGACAAACTTTACAACAGTCTTACAGCCAATACCATTATGGCTAAACTGACCAGACTTATAACACCATCACACACTGACAAACACTATTCACTTGACTCTGAAGATGACTTCTGCTCAGGTTGTCAAAAAGTCAGTCACCAACAACAGTTCTTTTCAGAACTACCCTCACCCAGACAATCACACAAATTATACAAACTACTAATATTCCTGGGTTCAAACCATTTACTATGTTACAATCAAAATGTCACTAAAGCAGAAACTAAACAGACCAACAAAGCGAAGTATGGATCAAGTTTGGTGACCTTTTACAATTAAAAAAAATGGGGTTTTGTATAAACCATTTTTCAGTCAATGGTCAACTGGCTGTTGGCAAGGGTTATCTTGGCAGTTAGGATGCGTTTTAGTGGCCACTACTGTGGTGGAGAGGTGGCCATTGTAGAGAGGTTAAAATAAGAGTGAATGTATGGACTGTCCACTGGGACCATAAAAAGTTGGCATTGTAGAGAAGTTGCTGTTAGTGGAGGTTTGACTGTAGTTCATATTAAGGTATACAAGGGTGCACACTAATACTTTGTCCATGTTTTTTATTTGAGTATTTTGGTAGTGCAGAAACCAAAGCAAGATTGCCTCAGTTTGGGGCCACCTTCAGCTAGTGCTATTTTCCTTGTCACTGTCAATTTTATAATGGAGAAAACAACCAACTACAAAATCCACTTTGTCATAATCAAAATCATTAACCATTTAATCTAATCGGCATATTATGAAATCAATTTATTTCTTGCCTTTTTCATGACTTTTGACCAGATCTTCCAGTTGTTTGAGCCTGGCCTTGTCAGGGATACTCTCCTTTACTTGTTGTTCTATATGCACTATTTGCTGCTTTAATATTTCCTCCTGTTCATCAAGAGCCTTACAAAAAAAAAAAGATAAAAAAAATGACATTTTTGTGTGACACAGACATGTTATCGCATTTAACAAAACTGAGTGTTCCAAAGGTATTCAAAATTAAGATTATTGACCTATTGATACAACTTACAACTTTTGGGAGCTGGTTTTGAGAAACAGAGATTTAAATACTTTAGTCAGGATTTGATATTATTCTCCCTTTAAGCTTAATGTGTTTACAGTTCCCTGTCTTATCACTTATGGATAGGCATATATTTCTGCTGATGTTTTGTTGATGTTGATGCTTAAAGCTCTGGAACTAAAGAGTTACTAAATAGTTCCACCATACATGTTTCTATTGGTAGAAGGTGCAATGGAACTAAATAGCTATTTAGTTCCACCATACATGTTTCCATTGGTAGAAGTGTTATGGGATTATGTGTATTAAGGGCATCTGCGGATGAGCATCGATCAATACCCTGGATTGATACCTCGATCCACACTCGATCAATACACAATGGACACTCGGTTGACATTCAATTGACACTCCATTGACATCTTGGTCGACGGTCAACTAATTTTTCCATTGATGGAAGGTACATCGAACAATATTTTGAAACTAAATGGCTACTTAGTTTGCACTGTGCATGCATGTATAAATATGCTAGAACCTTGATCTCCATGGTGTTTTTCTGTAACTGGTGCTCTGCAGCTGACAGCTCCTTTTTCAGCTCATCCACTATCTCTTCAAGTCTCTTCTTCGATTCCCTATGTTCCTGTGATAATAATACATACATCATATTTGATAAATGTACAGGATGAATGAAAATGAAATAAATTGTTATCCACGGTTGATGCACGACACTTAAATGTATATCAACTGTCAAAAGAAAATAAAAATTAAAAACTGATAACATGGAAAAATGTCAAAGTGTCATCTTGTGAAAAATCACACACATTTTGAGCATTGCTCTTTTTCAGGATGAAAGCGTTAAATGCTCGGTTCACGCGACTGTTCATTTGAAAGTAACGCACAGATGCTAAGTGTTTCTATGAAATTGAAATTGAAAACATTTAGGCCCCCTGGTTGCATAGTGCTGAGCCTGAAAATGATTTCCATTTCAAATTGCATCCATCTGAAACTAACGCCACTGCAGTAAGGAAGATAGCCTTTTCTGTATTTTGTTATGGCTACACGGATGAAAAAAAAAAAAACACGTAATTGACAAGTTTTACAGCACAAACAGGTGACTGGTTTATAGGAAGAGATCAATGCTGCCATGTTCTGAGCTGATAAAGTTCACTTTAGCAACTGTTTTAATAATATGGGATTTGTTAAATTTCATTCAAACCCTACTACTCTTAATCAAACCCTTTTCCCTTTCATTTGTATTAAAATGAGTGTTATGGTACTTTTGTTGCAATACATCAGGACACCTGCTTCAGTACTCTAAGCAGTCACTGACCAGCTAGCCTCCACCCATAGTACCCCACTACAAGCTTGGAATCCAAGCATGGGACAATGTAGATCTTGGTAAAGTTGTATTAATATTTGTCACTAAGTACTTGGCAGTATTTGGGGCATAATGTGGGTGCACACCTTCCACTTAGCTATTGCCTGCATCAGGCTGGGTGGGTCCCTTACCCCACCATATTTTTAGCTACCTAAAAGTAGATAGGTCAGGGGTTTTGTTCTCTGGGTGAGTTTGCTATCACCCCAATTCATTGACTGGGTGTGTCCGCTAACCACCCATGTTTCTGCTCTGGGGTTTGTGTCCTTTAACCGCCCCACTTTGTGTTTGTGCATTGGGTTTTGAGTCGGCTAGCCACCCCACTTAGTTTGCAAGGTGTGTCAACTAACCACCCAATTACCTGTCCAGGGTGTGTCACGACCACGCAGTCTCGTTGCTATCGCAGGGAGCACCCAGTGTCCATAGTCCCATTTACTGACATATTTGTCTTGTTTTTATTCATGCAATTAGAGAGTGAATTGTTGTTAGATTTCATTCAAACCCTACTACTCTTAATCAAACCCTTTTCCCTTTCATTTGTATTAAGTGTGCATTCAAAAAGAGTGTCATAGAACTTTTGTTGTTAGTTGCACTTGCGTTTGCAGTAAGATATTCTCTGCTTTGCAAAGTGGCATAAGTGATGAAAGGCTACCAAAAAGTTTGTTGATAACTAATATACCGGTATTTTCAAATATAAAATAATTTCCTGTACTCAGAGTGCAATAAAAGTTTAAAAGTGGAACTGAATTTCATCCGTCACAATAAAACATTTCAATGTTGAGATTTAGAGTAATATCTAAAACATGTAAAAATTTCAATGTGGCTGATGAAGTTCGGTTGAGCCAAATGGTCCTCTTTTAAACTTTTATTGTGCTCTGAGTGTAAGAAATTAGTTACAATAAAAATTTGTACATGTAAACATTGCATTGCTAAACAATTTTTCTTTTTCATTTAGCACTACGCAGTTCCACCTGACACTCTCAGGAGTGAAATAGTCAATGATTTCCATGTAATTGGCACTGTGTCTGTACCTCAGCTGCCCTTGTCTCTTTCTCCAGGGTTTTCTCCATAGCTTCCAGCTGATCAGGACTTACATCTGATCTTATGGAAGACCCCATTCTTCCCTTGACAACTTTGTTTCCTCCACCACTCATTGTACCTTGAGGTGGAAAAACAACCAGACAAACAAACCAAAACATTAATTGCCTTTAGCAATTAACATTTGTCTAGTTACAAGTATGTCAGAAGTCTATATTAATTTTTAGAATTAACAAAAAAGATATTTCAACAACTTGCTTATTCCTGATTTACTCCTACTAAGTGGCTAACCCTTATTACGTAGCCACCTCCCATTTCCCCAAGGGTGGCTCCTTACTAGGGGTTTACCTGTAAATCAAGGTTTATCAGTTGAGTGCAGAAGTGTTCAAAAAGGAGAACAAGCATCACATACTTGCCCATTCAGCCAGACCCAACTTAGTCAGTAAGTATTTAACCAGAGATGGACTTCTGTTTGACAGTTAATAAAAGGTCTATAAGGTCTGAATTATACACCCAACCGACGAGTTGATGATGTGTGTCGGGTTGACTACTTTTTAACTGTCAAACAACCAACCCATTTGGCCCCATGTGTCAACTTGCATTATATTGTTCTTTAAGGCCATGTTAGAAGGATTGTATGATGGTATGATGACTAAAATAAGCCCTGGGTTTGGGTTAATTAGAGTGCTGAAACTATCTCCTGATTCAAACCATTTGGAGAACTGTTCAAATTTAAGAGTTCTCTTTCCAATATTTTCATATGAGCGTTTTTCAAACCAACATATTACTTTATTTATTGGCAGTGATGAACCTTCAAACAAAAAATCACTACAGAATTGTCAGAATGGGCTCGCATAAACAACAACTGTATTTCATGATCAAACTTTTTCTGTTGCTTTTGGAATTTTAGTTTAAGGCAGGATTGTTTTATAGAATTTATTACTGCTTTTCTGATTCAATGTGCATCAGGCATATGTATGATTTGTATATAAACAAGATCTGTGTGCATCAAAGGGCAGGCAGAACCAGAACAGGTTTACTTGAAATGTAATAACTATGTTGACTGCATATTAACCATACCTGATTGATCGATGAGTTCACCTTGTAATGTCACCACACGCCACCTTTTAGATCCCTGACAAAGTAAGTTTTATTGGAAGTCAGCAGTATAGTCCCCAACCACAGTAACATCAGATGTAGTAAAACCATTTAATAATAAGAGCTGTCAAGCTAAGTTTGCTACAATTGTCCTGCATTTATGGATCTAATTATGTTTTAGGGTGCATTCCAAAATTAGGATGTATTACTGATTATTACAGAAAAGCCATGCTCACTGTACACAAATAAAACATTATTGTTTCTGGACTTATCCAATCACTGGATCAAGACCCTCAACAAAATGATCACTAAAAATCAATACAGATTTTTCTAAGACCAGTTGTAAGAATCAAACTCAATTGTTTGAATTGATAAAATCAATAATGTTCAGTTTAGGTTTATCAGTTGATATAAATTTGTTGAACATGCTGTAGGTTTTTTGTTTAAACTCTGCATGGATGTTCATGCATGTAAAATGTGAGCTATGTTATAACAAACATCCACTTTTCACTCTTAGGAAGGTGGACAGATGCCACCAAAAATTCAGTGAACAAAAAACCTACAGATCTGCTATACTGTCTACCGATCACAACAAACAAATTATATTTAACACTTAATGACTGGTCCCGAGGGGAACAATGAATTTTGTTTCCCGATAATCTCAATGTTTCCCAAGAAGAAGACAAGGGAAACATTGAGATTCGAGGGAAACAATATTCACTGTTCCCCAAGAGGAACAGTCATTAAATGATTTGCTATATAGCAAAACAAAAAGAAAGCAAATTTTGAAAAACGCACTGAGATTCCAGCGACAACATCAGGCCACCTTCAACTGCACGCTCTGATCACATGCAACAGCAGTCAACATTTGAAGGGCAACAGTGAACTGTTTCCCGTTTGACGTCATGGTTTTCGCAATGTTACCCGTTCATGGCATTTCACAGTAAACAGTTTCATTGTCAGATGTCATGTGACTATGAACTAGCCAATGAATGGGCACGCTGTAGCGGGAAAAACGCCAGCTATATAACAAAATAATGTAAGTTCTTTTCTAGAGTTAGTTAATTATTTTTCAATCTATTCTTAGTCATTAATTTTTATTGATACTGACTAGGATTAAACTCTAACTAACTAGACGAAATGAACTAGTATAGTTGAAATCAGAAATTAACTAAGCTCACAAATTAACCACAACATTCTCATTATTCTCATTCTCATTTGCAGCCTTATGCGCAACAGAGCGCAAAGAAGATAGGTGAGGTGAGGTTCTCATTATGAAATAACGTCAATTAAGCACACCCTTGGAAATAATTGCAAAGGGTTTTACCTGAAAGGCAATGTTTGTGGCTTGTTTGAGATCATCTGCAACAAGTGTGTTTCTCAGAGCAAAGAAGAAAGCAGTGCGTATTTGATCATCTTTTACATGGACCAAGTCATATAGGCGTGGCACATTCTCTGGCCTAGCAAGCAAATGATAAAGGACTGTCACAGACAGATCATTGATGGGTTCTAATGGAGGGCAAATAGGTATGCTTACCAGCATTCCTTAGAAATATGTAAATGCACAAACAATAGAATAACCGCTATGATATTTACAAAAAAAAATACTCTGCTTATCAATTGCTAATTACTTAAAGCATTACTAATATTTTAGTCGTGAAACAGTAACAACTAATATGGCAGAAATGCTGTTACTGGTTCATGTGACTGTAACTTTCAGAAAAAAAGACAATTCTTGGTCTTGTGGGAAAGCTACCACTTCAAGGACCAAGAATTTCCACACAATTTGTGCTCAGGATTTAATCTTCAAAACATCCATAGAGCAGGATGTTTAAAGGAGTTGTTGATGTTTGAAACAGTTGAAAGAACTTGATGGTGGAGCTTCTTCAATCTCCAGGACTGACCCACAATTTTTTCACACAAACGAACATCATGGTCATTTGACCCATTCCATTACACCAAGTAGAAATCTATGACATCTCCAAACTTAATAGTATATTGTTGAATTTGGCTCAAAAAACAATCATTACTGGGACCATCTTACTGATTGTGCTGACAACAAAGCACGAAAATTGAATAAAAATTATTACAAATGGAGAAGGGCAATCAAAATGGAGTAAAGGCTACAGGGTTTTCATTCATTGGTTGAGATGATATTGGTGACAGCAGACAGAGTAACTTGAAGGGTCACAATTTCTGGCTCTGTTCTCCATACAGATGATGACGAGTTTAGAAATCTGACGATAAACAACAGACATGCTTTCAGCACATCCTGCTGAGGATGAGTTTGAAATTCATCGATTCTTTTGGTTCTTACAATTCCACCAAAACTAAAGCTTTCCTGCATCACGCAATAACACCAGAACCTGGCTAGGTGAACTTACGTTTGGATTTTTGAAGATGCATCTTTCCTCCATTTCTCCACCTGCATAAGAGAGGAAGAGTAACATACTCAGACTACATTATTTTTACCGTCTGGAAACTAGATGACTTAGTTTGAAGGTATCCCAGAAGTAATATCCAAATAGGTTTCCCAGGGGATCCAGTACTAATTCTTGCAAATTTTGTGTTAGTGCTACATTGTACCTTTTAACTAATATCCTTTCCATTTTTCTTGGTTTACAGATCGCTGGGAGTTGTGAAAAGAGTATCTAAATGAAATTCCTTGATTATGCTAATGTTACACAATGACTGGCACCCCTTGCTGGCCTAATGGGTTTCATATCCTTTACTACTTTTTTCCCATTCAGTTATCTAAAGTATATATTTCTGCTTTTCAGTTCCTTTTTCTCATGGAGTCTCATTGTCACCTAAAAATGGGATTAAAGCATGGCTCAATGCCTAAAGAAACCTTTTTGTTAGTTGGGTCAGCTGGATTGGGAGTCCAGCCAGGGTTGGCTCTGGGGTGACAGTCAATGATATAGAAAAAAGCTTTTCCCTTCTGTTCTATCTATACATGTATGTTTCCTTTTTGTGGTTTAAAGCATGCAAAGAAAGGTCTACACATACTGTACATCCAATAGCTTAGGGCTAGTGGATTTTGGCCAGGGGCTACTGGAGTCTATCCTACAATTTAAATTACAGAAGAACTGTAAGAGATCAAATTATTGCTTTAATTTGTGCGAGTTTGGAAGTCTTTTTGGGCTTGTAAAACGACTGTCAGTCTAATACATTCTAGTCACGTTACAGTCTTGCAAAACTGATTTTCTTTTCTTTTGAATTATGGTTTACCGAAATGATTTAAAATAAAACACTTAATGTTTACCTTGTCAAGGCCAATAAATGTGGCAGCTCCAATGTTATTGTGCTTGAGGAAGGTGATACACCTCTGAGCAGTGTCAATACTGTCACAAACAATGTTATCCAGTGCTCCACATGCTGTACTTATCGCTACATCGTATTTATCATCTATGGCACCAAGATCTCCCTGAAAAGAAAATATAACTTCATTGAGACAATAGTTATACTTTAATTTTCTAACTATCAGAATCCACAAATAGCACAATTTTAACAATAACAAAGTAAGACTAAGAAAACATTAGTTTGAGTGACGTTTGGTGGGATCTGAATTGTGGTTCTCCACTGAAAATAGGACACATCCTTTTCAGGTTAGGCTAATGGACCAGCCACACAATCATACTGTAGCCCTTTCACAGCCATAACCCATGTGCTTAGAAACCAACAAACATGTCTCATAAGACAGATCCTACATTTCCCTCATGTTCTCAAATGCCCATCGTGTTTTATTACAGTGTAATACATGGCTTAGGCTTCTTTATCTGTTACACAAAAAGTCTGCTACTCAATAACTGCATTGTCTCTGGGACAGGTTCACTCTGCCTCTTCCATGCTGCCCACTTTTTGGCATTTTTGAGAGAGAAACTACTAACACAAAAATCTTTAAAAAATTCCAAGCCAGATGAACATACATGCATGTATGCTTGCATTTAATGGCTGCCATAATTTTATGTTTCGCCTTATAGTTTCGCTTTTTATTTACAGCTTATTTCGAGCAACTTATATCTATCAGTTTACATGTGATAATGTTCATCACCCCACTTCTTTGGGAGGTGCTGGGTGCTCTTCTAAACATTTTAACTAGGAGTAGACAGACAATTCTTTAATAATTTATCAAGAATTAAGTCTACCTTTGAATTAAATATACAGGGCTCGAAAAAAGGTGCCATCCGATCATCTGATACAAGAAGATTTCCTGTTGGGCAAGTAACTTATCATTCTCACTTGCCCAATGGGCAAGGCGATGGTCTAGTCAAGCCATCTGCCAACTAAATAAAAAAAGTGCAACATAACTTTCCCAGGGCAACTGAAATTTGAGAGCTGTTTGACCAAAGGGCAAGCTGGAACCCAAATATAGGTACATTTGCTTCTGTCTTCTTTTGCCAAAAGGTGTTTCAGTATTTATCAACATGACAGAAAATCCAAGACCAAAAAATACAGTGTACTGTCCATAGTTTATGTGTTTTCAAAACACTGCTGATCCCTTTAGACACCAAGAACACTGCCTTTGTTCTAATTATTATTACAATTTATCCACCTTTCCAACTTTTATAACCATTCCCATCACATTTTATAACAGATCATAACTTATCATTCTCTGCCTCATATCTAACCTCTTACAAATGTATATCACTAGAAATCCCTTACCAGACGACCAAAGATTCCTTTAATCTTTCCTGATGCCTTTTGCTCCATAAGGGCCTCCAACACTCTACCTCTGTTGAAAACAAGAATAACCAGTTTAGCTTTATTTAGTGCTATTTAGAAAAAACAGTGCAGAAATGTCCAAAGCGATAGTGGACAGTTTGCACCTTTACTATCCACACTGCAGATTTGAGGCAGTACCACAGTTATGTTGTTTTAGTATCCAAAAATATAGAATGCAGTTTTAGCAGGCCTCTTTTGTTGATACAGTTGAACCTCCACTAATGGCCACCTCTTCACAACGGGCACATTTTGTCCTGGTGGATGGTCCATACATTCACTCTTGATTGAACCTCTCTGCAGTGACCACCTCTCAAGAACTGCATTAAGGTCACTAAAGTGCATTACTGCTGCCAAAATAACCGCTTGACAATGGCCAGTTGATCAATGACCAACAAAAGGTGTATACAAAACCACATATTTTTAATGTACTACTTAGCAAACTTGCTTTTTCAAAAAAATACATTATTTACTGTCAGACCAATATAATTTTCTGCTTTGTTTTTGTTTTCCCTTAAACTAGAGGCTAACTTGAAAACCTAACAGTTCATTTCGCTTCCAGTCTCATTCAAAAGAGATTATAACAGTCACCTCAACTAAAACATACTTAGTCTACATCTTAAATTAAATAAACCAAAAATGTGATAATATTTATACTGAGCAAAGTAAAGATGTTGCTGCTGTTGATTGTGCTAAGTATTTACATACTACATGTACAATTAGTTTTTTTCAAAGACAAAATATAGCCCACCTTCCAAGAAAAGAAGGTGTCACATTTTACCCCTACCCCCTCACAACAGCCACCTCTCTACCATGGCCACTTTCTTCTATCTCCAAGGTTGCTGTTGTGGAGAGGTTCAATTGCATTCTACAAACACTTCACCCCTCCAAAAATAGAGTTTCTCCATAGGTGAAGACCTATATCAGTACACGTAGATGTTGTTGTCAACATGAGTCCTAACAAAACCTGGAAAGCTAACCTGCTATGTGAAGCTTGAAGGGAACTTCTTGCTTCCTCTACTTTGGTTCTTATGTTTCGAAGCTGGAAAAAATATACATTTTGCAGAAAGCTTTAGAAAAATTTTCACAACCATACAGGGAGATTTGGTGACTGTTTCCAAGGTATGGATAACCAATTAAAACAAGATTCATAAAATTGTCTTTAGTCATTTTTAGCCTTCTGTTCTTCCTAGTGAATACAGGGTTCCTACCAGTCAGAGATGATGGAATTCCAGGAGTCTTCCATGGCAAAAGTAGAAATTTCAGAAATTACAGGTTTTATGGTGTACATGTTTAAAAAAATTATTGTGCTTTTCGAGTTCTTGAGTGCCTTAGTTGTTAAGCGTGGAAAAGGTCATGATAGTATTTTGGGTTTTTTATTAATTACATACTACAAAACCCTGTAAGTTTTTTAAGAGTAAGTGGAAAAAGTAATTTTTAAGTGGTTTTCCTGGGTTCCAAGAGTTTTCCAGGATCAGTACTGACCCTGAGAAAAGCCAACTTTAAAACTGCAAGGAAAATTATTATCAGCAAGGAATTACTGTGAATTTAAACAATACAGTAAATTAGAAAACAGTCCTAAGAAAATACACGCCCTGATTGGTTAAAAATCGTGTTTCTATATCTCAATGTAAACACAGAACTAGCACAAGCTGTTGACGTAACGATGGCGCGAGCAAAGAGAATTTACATTTTGACGATCAAAGTAAACAACCTGCTTTTCTTTTTTTCGTCACAGTGTTTTCTGAAAGAAATAGAACATGTTCTCCGTGTTTCTATTTAGTTATAGAAACACTCGTGAAAGTTTGGGAGAACCCAAAAAAGCTGTGGAAACACTTGCCTGTGGCTTGTGTTCCCACAGCATTTCTCGTTCTCCCAAACTTCCACTCGTGTTTCTATAACTCGATAGAAACACGGTATATGTCAGGGTTCTCCATTGTTTTCAGTACAACAGGCAAAAGAGCATTTTAAACCGGTAAAGCAATCAGGTGAATCACAGCCTTGTTTACTAGGTCTGCTCTGTACATTACATGGAATTCAAGTCAATGTAGGTGATGTGCTTTCCAAGACAGGTGTTTCTTTCTTGAGTTACAAAGCCACTTCATCGCCGATGTTGTCATTTCCTAATAAAAACATTTTCTTTGAAAAGAACTCCATCTAATATGCATTACAGTTTACTAATTTTACACCTTTGGCTTTAGATGTCAAATGAAATCAAACAGCATTTTCATTTGTAAGTGTTTTATTCTTTGTCTTAATTCTCTTGCCCTAAAGTCACAGAAAAATAGGCAAAAGCCACTTCCGGGGTATCCTCATTGTGCTTACATGAATTGTCACTACAAAATCAGCAGTCATCTCTCAAAACCAAATGAAATCGCTGCATTTTCATTTTCATTCACGTTCTGGAAGGGTTTTATTGTCAAGGATTCTCTCAAAACGTTGTCTGAAAATAGATTTTAAACACTTTTGATCTGAATGTGGAGCATTTCGTAATGAAGATAAAGTTCTCGATCACCACACGTGAATATTGGTCAATTTAACACCAGTTTTCTAAAGCCGATAGTTAGGTGGGAAGTTCATGGAACTGCAACTGTTTCCATTCGTGACTTCTTGCCATTATGATGGAGAGAAATGAGAACAAAGTTCGTTGGTGCTTCATCGTGAAACTGAACGTAAACAACTATCGATGCACGTGCAAAGAAATGACATCTGTCACAATGGAATTTGGCAGAAAGCCTGCCAAAAATTTGCGGATCTTGCCTCGAAGTTCGAAAGCCACAGATAGTACTTACAAACCATAGCCTGTGCAGTTTATCTTTTAATCTGTTTGTTTATTTTTTTACAAGGATAAAATAACGATTTCGTCGGTGAAACAACTATATATTTTTTCTTTTACCTGTTGAATTTTCAAGAATTCCAAGGGATTTTAGGCGGTAATGAGTGGTGCTACAGGTGGTAAATTTTACCGGTTACCGCCTGAAACGGAGAACACTGATCATGTTCTCTATTTTTTAAATATAACCAAATGTCCACTGACCTCATCAGAAGCTTTCCTTTCTCCTTCAACAGCCTTGACCAAATCAGCTTCTGCCTTTTTTAACCTATTCTGTAACTCTGGAATTTCATCTTGTAATGACTGTATTTCACTGCACAGACAAAAAGCAAATACTGCAGGTAATGCATTCATAAGAAGATTCAAGTCAGTTGAAAATAAACCCTCATCTAGATGATGTCCATGCTATTTGTTTGAAAGTCTGTACAAGTATGAACATTAAATGTTGAGAGTAGGTAAATTAGTTGGATGCCAACTTAATCTACGTACAATTCTACTTTAGCTTAGGGAGTTGGTACCTCTTTCTATGTGTTCGGGTTTCTCTTGTCTTGTCCAAGTTGTCTTTGGCATCCTTGAGCTGGTTCAAAGCTGTTTCGTACTGACTTTTAAATAGTTCTACCTCACTCTTTGCCACATCCATCTAAAAAGTCATTAAAAGATTAAGAATCATACAAATTACTTGAAACTATAGAGTGCTTGCCTTATAAAAGAGAAGGAAAGTTTGGATAACTAATAGCTTTGGAAGACAAATAACTTTTCTGCGGCTGACAGGTAAAATTAATGTGTCATGGTTCCCATGAGAAGAAGAATGTAAATTCTCAGACATGTTATTGATATTTTTGTTTCTGCACACCATTTCTATGCATATAACTCATGTTGATCACTTTTTCTTTTCACATGCAATCAAATTTTTCTACCAAAGTGTTGTTCCAGAAAATATCCACCCCACCCCACCCCCTGGAACCCAATCCAGACCAATTCCCCTTGGAAATTCTGGTTTTAGCTTTTGAGTCACCCCTGGCTTCTGGAACCATTTCCAATTCCAATGTGTTTCCTTCCAGGAAGGAGCTGATAATGGTATGGAGCAAATTAATATCCTAGCTTGCACATTTTTTAAAGCCAAGTGAGGCTAGATCATGTCTAAATATCCTTCATATATTCTCCCAAAGTTACTCTTTTGGGGGGACCTCTTTTCTGAGTTGTTTAATATCAAAATCACTGGAAATCGTTAAAAAGTATCACTTGTTTGTTCAAAGTATTCAGTATTTTCATTTTAACAAACGGACTTAGTTCATATTATTAACATCAATGATCACTGTGTCCCAACCAGGTCTATTGTTGTATTGACTTTGGACTAAACAAAGAAGCCCAGTTAATAACTGGTAAGCTTTGTTTTCTGTTTGTAACTGCTACACAAACCTTCGACTTAGCTTCATTGACAACCTTGTTCCATCCTAATAACTCTGTTTCTTTTGCCTGTAAAAACAGAAGATGTGATCAAAATAAATTATATGGGATGACATTCAAAAAAAATCTATGAAATAGTGCAAGTTTTAATAGACAATCAAATTATTTCAAGAGTGCAATTTAGAATAAATAGGCACAAGTTAATTTTTTTAAAAATTTGTAGCCTGTGAAAAATGTATGATCGTTTATTTATTCTAACTTGAAGTAGAAAAATCATTTGATAACTTATTAATAATATATATGCAATTTAATTTTAACTCTCTGCACTCAGTCTGAACTTTCGGTAAATTTCCTAATGAAAATTAGGCATTTCCTATTTTAAAAAAGTGTGGTTAACAGAAGAGCAAAGTGAACAATGTTTAGAGCAGAAGTACAGGTGTAATAGCATTAACAGTGATATTTAAATTAAATGACTTTTCCTCACCTCCTTTTCTGTTTGGAGACCCTCAGTTTCACTCTTTAAGCCTGTAAAGTTAAATTATACACCTTAAGACTCAGACATACTGGACCAGCTGCTGAAGGTGACTCCTCAGAATTTCATTGTGTCCCTACTGTGCACCATTTTTGTGTCATTACCTCGTGCACGTACCCAAATGTACATGTACACAAAATCAAGAAATTTCCTTAAAACTAAGCTCAACAGCAAAAGGAAATGTTGGTTTTCTCTTAAATGAACGTTTTGACCTATATTTTTATAATATAACATAAGGTTTGGTGTACAAGGAAATAAGATACAGCTAGAGGGGTGCACAAAAACCCTTACTAAAGGAGGGAAATTGTGACTCGAGGAATGTTTTGTTTTTTCCATAAACTATATATTACATTGTCGCATAAGCTCAAGACTACCTATCAAGTTTTCTCCAAGTACGTCTT